AACAGAGTCCATAAGAGTGTAATTTTTTCCGTAAGACAACAGAGTCCATAAGAGTGTAATTTTTTCCGTAAGACAACAGAGTCCATAAGATCCTGAAAGGTTAGAATAAGCTTTAGGAATCTGTAGAGCTTGATCTGAGAATTATGAATAGATCGGTTGTAGTTGTTTTCTCCAAGGTCAGCTTTCCGGTCAAGGGTGTCAGCCACTCTCAGTTCTCCGGTCAAGGATGTCTGACGATTCTGTGAACATATCCGATTTCTACGTAGACGAGTTTCTTTTCGGCTATTTTTATTAGAGTCATGGGAAATTCATCTGTGGCCTCTTTGACAACTTGCTGTCAACATCACATCTACATCTGTAAAACTAGAAACCGTTATCTATCAACACAATACAGAAACAGAACATCCGATTTCTCTCTCCAACATTAAAATTCTCTCAACAGCCAGCAATGATACTGAACTTTTAGTAAAAGAAACATTATACATAACACTCTTCTCCCGTCTCTAAATAATACACATTAGATTTAAACCTATTTTACTTGTGCCCCAGTTTTCATTTTTTCGTGTTATATTTGTATATTCGATTTGTTTATTTCTTATATACATATTTTTGTTGTAATTAGAAATATTGTTTGTTTGTTTTGTACCTCTATATTACTGATGATGGAATTATGATGATTCAGAAACGTTTAATAAACTGTTATCACGTTCGTGTTTTGTTTTATCTGTATAGATACTGTATTCCAATAACACCACGACCCGCAATAATCTCTGTAGATACTGTATTACAATAACACCACGACCCACGGAATAATCTCTGTAGATACTGTATTACAATAACACCACGACCCACAATATTCTCTGTAGATACTATATTACAATAACACAACGTCCTGAGATAATCTTTATAGATACTGTATTCCAATAACACCACGACCCGCAATAATCTCTATAGATACTGTATTACAATAACACCACGACCTGAGATAATCTTTATAGATACTGTATTACAATAACACCACAACCCACGATAATCTCTATAGATCCTGTATTACAATAAAACCACGACCTGGGATAATCTCTATAGATACTGTAATACAATAACACCACAGCCCACGATAATCTCTATAGATCCTGTATTACAATAACACCACGACCCACGATAATCTCTATAGATACTGTATTCCAATAACACCACGACCCACGGTAATCTCTATAGATCCTGTATTACAATAACACCACAACCCACGATAATCTCTATAGATCCTGTATTACAATAACACCACGATAATCTCTATAGATACTGTATTCCAATAACACCACGACCCACGGTAATCTCTATAGATACTGTATTCCAATAACACCACGACCCACAATATTCTCTATAGATACTGTATTACAATAAAACCACGACCTGAGATAATCTCTAAAGATACTGTAATACAATAACACCACGACCCACGATAATCTCTATAGATACTGTAATACAATAACACCACGACCCACGATAATCTCTATAGATACTGTAATACAATAAAACCACGACCCACGATAATCTCTATAGATACTGTAATACAATAACACCACGACCCACGATAATCTCTATAGATACTGTAATACAATAACACCACGACCCACGATAATCTCTATAGATACTGTAATACAATAACACCACGACCCACGATAATCTCTATAGATACTGTAATACAATAACACCACGACCTCAAGCAAAGTTTAGTAAAACATTTGTCCATATACGTAAAATCCTCCAGTTCTTTTCAGTTTTTAAGTTTTGAATACTGTTTTGAATCCCCATACGACAGTGAGTGTTCTGTAAAGTTAGGAAGATGGTTGGGAGTTCAGGAATTAATATATATGTGCCTCCTGGAGGTGGAATACCGTACTTGGTCTAATTGACCCAGAGGCTCCTTGTTTATCTTAGTGGGTTATTCTTTTCCTCAAAGATCTTATGTAATTACTGTAGGATAAACGTTCAGACAGCTAGGTTTTGTTAAACTACAAACGAGATTAATTTTAAATTGTTATAGGCCTAAATTTTCAGTTGGTACAAAAGGCAAAACATCAAAATAAAATAAAACATTATTGTTGGCTTTAGAGCATAGCTAGATTGGGCTAACTGTTGTGCCCACCGCGGGGAGTTGAACCTCTGATTTTAGTTTTGCAAGTCCGTAAATCAAGGCTGTCCCACTGGGAGTAAGTGGGGGGACAAAATCAGAACAACATTATTCATTTAAATCCCACCTGGTTTTAACTGAACAGAAATTTAAGTACTTTATATTAAAGCGACTTTGAATATGCAAATCAGGATGTTACGTGACAAACACAGCAGATATAAAGTCGACGTGGAATGGAATGTATCAAAACTACATTTTGACGTTATTTGGCTTTACCTATGGAGTGTGATGGCACCGCTTTTGGGAATGGCATGTAACAGTTCTTCCATACAATAAGATCTTAAAGATGTGTTCAGATTGGGTATTTATAATCTTCGAGACATTGTATGTCTATAGTATTTAATGACATTAAAAAGCAATAGAATGTGGATAAACCAGAGACTCCAGGACCATTTGGAAATAGACCGCAACAAGTCTTAAAAATCCGCGAATACAAAAGTCAATGGTAAAAGCCATTAACGTACCCCTGGAAAAAGTAAGCAACATAATCTACAAGGATCTCTGTCTGGACAAATCGCGTGTTTCCACAACATATCTGTCCAGCCATGTCATGCCTCAAGCAAAACAAATCGCGTGTTTCCACAACATATCTGTCCAGACATGTCATGCCTCAAGCAGGACAAATCGCGTGTTTCCACAACATATCTGTCCAGCCATGTCATGCCTCAAGCAGAAAAATGTTTGTTTGTTTTTTGTTGTTGATAAGCACAAAGTAATACAATGAGCTTTCCGCGCTGTTCCTACCGTGGTTATTGAAACGAGGTTATTAGCGTTATAAGCCTTCCGACTTACTTTTAAGTCACTGGGAGCACAGCACACGAAAAAAGGGTTTTCACGCTATTCCATACCAAGACATGCATCTCAAGTCACCTATGCATTTCTGTGAGATCAGACTTTAGCGACAAGCGTTTGGAAACCGTCATTTTCGTACTTTAGGTAGGCTATTGAAAGTACCAGGGAGGAGTAGTGTTCTTTGGGCATGACAGTCTTACAATAGAGCTTTTTCCAATGGAAACCACGTAGCAGGGCTATTTTCGATATGGCCGGGCATGGCCAGATGGTTTGGAAACCGCCATTCTCGTACCTTAGGTGGGCTATTGAAAGTACCAGGGAGGAGTAATGTTCTTTGGGCATGACAGTCTTACAATAGAGCTTTTTCCAATGGAAACCACGTAGCAGAGCT